GGATATTGCTCGTGTTAGATACTGTCCGGAATGCTATGCTGATGCCGATGGGGTATTATGTGTTCACTGCGAACTAAATGACTTGTTCCAGGTCTGATTTTCTTGTATCTTTTTTCTTCCTTTTTTTTTTTTGACTACTGAAGTTATCCTGTAAGGTAACTAAATATTGTGACGTGTATCATATTTAGAATTTTCTCCAGGTTATTGTGGCTTAGTGATATTGTTATTGTACTTTCTCCAGGTTTATGAGGCCAGACTTTTTCGTCTTAACAAGGGAAAGCGTGGAGAGGTGATTACATCTGCCGAGGAGGCTGTAGATCTGCAGAAGAAGAAGTCTGCACTGAATCGTTTCTATACAACTCTAGCCCGAACAGACAAGAATTCAGGTTCAGCTACTGCAGAATATGAAGATTTTGGAAAGAAGAGGGACTTAGAGGACATTATGGTGCGTAATGATAATATAATGCTTATGCCGAAAAGAATGATTGTTTTCGCTTTGGCTATAGCAGCAGCCTTTGCGCTTCTGCCTTTCTGTCAAGTTCTTATATAGACTGCCAAAGACTGGAAGAAGTTAAAAGCTCTTGTCAAATTTTGTCGGACTGTGGTGTTCATAGTAATATAGAATATGTTGAGCCAAAGACTGGAAGAAGCTAGAGCTATATCCAATAATTAAATGTGGTTATAACTACTCTAATGAAGGCAACAGAGTTTGGTTATTTACTTCTGTTATTCCTCTTTCACCTTCTCTGGTGAGATTGCTGTTAGTGGTGCTCAGCCTGAGTGGTTTCCCTTTTACCTTGAATGACTTGGTCCGAACCTCTCACATCCACCCTGTAGTAACAAAGTACATATTTATCAAGAATCATGTATTTCATGGAGAGAGATTCTGCTACAGACTTCTTTGAATTGCAAGAAAAGATAGTTAATACTTAATACTATCATGCCAACTTAAATGCGTCGCATCTTCCACACATTCTGAATTTACAATTGCAAATTGAGTTCCCCAATATAATACATACGAACATTTCTGTATCTTTTGACTGGTGTGATATGGAAAATTTAGATTTCAGATTTGAGCATTAGTTGGGTGTAATTTCTCATTCTTTGGTTCTCTGTTTCCTGTCATTAGTCAGGATAAGACCTGCATAGTTCGAAGCTTTGACATAGGCAATCCTTAATGATTGTGCAATTTAATAGGTGTCGAAAGCTCCATCTGATTTGGAAGTAGTGTTGGGCCTTATTAAAAGCAACTCCCGGGGCCTATTAGATGCTGAAGGTGTATTGGCAGCCAAAAAGCAGCTGCAGCTTCTTGAGGTATCTCCAAATCAATGCCCTTGTTAGAACAGTTGTCTTTTTTATTTGATTTTCCGTTGGAGATTCCATTCATATGGTCTATTAAAGTCTGTTCAAGAGAAATACTTCACGACCAGCATCTTGACGACATGAATACATGTGTATCTTTATGTAAGGTATTTCACTCTATAGTTCTTTGTAGGGGATGCGAAAGGAGTATGCGCAAGCAAGGCTCCTGTCGACAGCTCAAGCACATGTTCTACGTGCTCATGATGAGATTATGATGGCAACTTCTCGACTACGCCTAAAAAAGGATGAGAATGACAAATCTATTGATGCCTTAGATCAAGGAGAATTAGATGCAGCCAATGCTGAATGGTCTAGCGAAAAGTTTTTCTTTTTATCTTCTTTATCAAGAACAAAGGGACAACTTCGCTACTTGAAGGTAACAACAGAAGGTTCAGAGTTTTCCTATTTTTAATATGAATTGTTATGAAATTCAGGAAAAGTCACCTGGATGTGTATTCATATCATGCTTCGGTCTTAGACATTACTGGAACTCTGCATTTTGCAATTAAACCAGTTTGGTCTAAGAATTAATCCCAGTCAGTTTGTTGTCTAATCAAAGAAGCAACTCGAGTGGTTGGAGTTCTAAATTATCATCAAGTTAGTGCAACATTTAGTGATGAGACAATTGACTTTTGAGAATGCTGTCATTTAGGCACTGATAGATTAGGTAGATTAGGTCAATCTATGTTGCATTTCAAGGAGAGACAGATCCCTTTCCCAGTTCTATATCAAAGGCTTAGGACATTGAAAATATGGTGCAACTGTGAGTGTTCTTTTTGATAGATGGTGACTAGTGAATGCCAAGTAATGCATCATGTCTCTCTTATGGTACATCTTTGAATTTTGGTAGGTTTGTGATTGCTGATAAAGCTCCAAATTTAGCAACATTTCTGACATTTCGCACAAAAACACGAGCTTCCTTTCTCTTGATTCTAGAAAATAAGTTAGATACTCCTGATGTTGCCACAATATTCTGTTCCTAAATGGTCCTGAAATGTACCTAGAAGAAGAAAAGGTCGAAGACACTTGAGTCTATGTTTGTGCATGTATTTCTTTTGGCTTGTG